CTTCTATCCACATCAACAGAGCATGGAGTCTCCCGAGAATGAAAGCCGAAAATCATCGGGGTCCACAGCCCGCGATCAGCCGTGAGGGATGAGCTCCATGACTGGGGTCCCGGTTCGGGAGATGAGCCAACGCGTACGGCACGGGGACGAGCGAGCGAGCTGAAAGAATTCCGTTGGTCGGTCTTCTGTGAGCGAGCCTACTCAAACGAGCGAGCGTCACCCGAGTGGAAAAACAGCATTCCCCCTCAAAACTTTACCAGGCTAGCGTCGAAATCCACAAAGAGCCCTCACACGCGGAGAAAACACGTTGCTTCCCGTGAGCGCGAAGCACCTCAGCCGCCTGAGTGTCGATACGACAATACGAGGGTCTGTTCTAGACTCGCGTGCGCTCCTGCAAAGGTTCCCACCCCGGCGGCTAGTGATTCGGAAAAACGTGTCTCCTCCTGCTCACACGATCTGAGAACAGGATCCGAGGGTAATCACCGCCGGTAGGTATGCACACCTAATTACTCCAGTGGATTGTAGAGATTTGCGATCTAAGCCTCCGAAATCAAGGAAAATGAGAGTGGCCCACGTAAGATCTGTTCGATCACTCTGAGCTACGGGTTCCCGCGCGCTGCCTCCGCACTCTATGGTCGATCTAGAAACTCCGGGCCCCCGTAGATCGATTCCTTTCCAACGAGGACATACATACTACATAGACATCTGTCCGGCTTCATATACAGAGCTCGGAACTGGAGATCTCGCGACCTCCCCAGAAGCGTGACGCCCCCAAAGTGGGCGAGACTGTCGATCGAGCTCTTCGAATATAGCTCGACCCGTCAGCAATTCACAAACCGCCGAGAGGAGTGTGAGAGATCTGGAATGTAGGGGAGTCTGAAAAAGAAAGCAGGACCGAAATGGATTTCCCGCAAGTCTAGAATTTTTCATCGATGTGACGACACAGGTCGCCGAGACCCAGTGATCAGATGCGTGCTTGAAAACGTGAGTCTTCCGCTGCCCTAATTCCGCGGTCTCCTTTGCCCTTCTGCAGCTCTCGTAAGCTCGATCAGCTTCGCACGATCGTATGGACGCCACTGAGGGCATCACTGCGTGCCGAGGCTGTATACGCAGGATGGCTGAATACGCTCTGGGTCTGATTGGGAGTTACCGATCAGAAAACGTGTTTCGACCTGATTGGATCCGCTTCACACGACGAGGTTCGATAACTCGCATCAGTCGGTATCGGTCTCTCACAAATTGACCCCCAGTTCAGGGGGATTGCGCATGCGAACGACGCGCCTCTTTTCCTATTGATTTCGAGAAGTCGCAAATTGAAAGAGATTTCCTCGTGGGGTCCGGCGTGGTCCGAGGTGATTACGAGCGTCTATGAAGAGACGCTTCTCTAAGAATAATTCCAAGGTGAGAGCCATGCCCTGATCGGCAAGAATGGTTTGTCAATCGGGAATGGGAAGGAGCATCGGTCTCTGATGATTTCTTGGGTCCGCCATTGTGGGTATTATTTCAGGAGCGTTGGCTGGTGTCGAGGGGAACTACCAAGAAGTCTGGACTTGATGCCTGGAGCTCCGATTACCCACATTTCAGCATCCTGACCCTAATGAAACTTGGACCCCGGTCAGGCTGAGGGTTTCAGAACGGATCGAATGAGCAGGTCTCGATCAGATCTGCGATCCCTAAAATGGAGATCCACTCCTTACAAAGACCTGGCTTCCCCATCATGGTAGGCGCTTGAGGAACAGTACAAGGCTCTGAACGTGTCGGTGAGGGCTCCCACTTTGAAAGAGAAGCTAGATGCGGATCTTTGGCGAGTTGGTCCGCAGAATCGATCCCAGGAGGCTCTGCATCCTCTTCATCGAATTCAGTCCATTCCGCGGCCATCATTGAAAACAACAATCCTCGTCGCACCTGAGTTTCGACAGAGACTCGCGCCATATTGGGTCTTACCATTTAAAAAATTCTACGTACTGCGGAGTACTTATAAGAGCTCGTTTCCCTCCTCAGATCGCCGTCCGAGACGGCTGGGGACGATGGCAACTCCAATCGCAGAGTCGGACGCCGGGAAAAGACAGAAAAGTTTTCCAATCGCGCCGACCTGATCAGATCAGGGCTGACGTCGTTGAAACCCAGAGTGTGCACCGCGGCATCCCCATTGAGCCGATGCACGGCTGATTGCATTGGTTCGCCGCTCGAAATCATTGAGTCAAATTCTGACATTATGCCTGTGTTGCCAGCTTCAGTCCCTCGTCGCTCGTTGTAGAGCTCCATGTGTTTCAATCAAAGCAGATCGCGCAAATTGAACGATAGAAGTCTCTGATTAAAAGTCATTCTTGCACCCACCTGTTTAAATACCGAATTCACTAATTTTTTCTCTCAGGGGGAATGGAGACTTTTGGAAACTGGAAGGATCCATTTCTTTCCGATGAAGGGCCGATCGCGAGTCCCGCCATAGAGTCGGCCTGTGAGAGATGGAAGCGAAGTGTTCCGAAACGATTTTTACAGGTGACGGTCTAGGAGCTGAAGAGAGCGAGTCTGTGGAGCCAACTCCAAAGGGCGCCTCTGCCTCTGCGTCGTATCCCGGTCAGAGGCTATTCATCATCAAAAATTACCTTTCTCTTTGGGCAAGACGTTGGACAAGGGCTCGTGCTCTGTATCGAAAATGCAAGCATTCATAGATTCTCTCCCTGGTATCTGAGTATCGCAGTGAGTCAAGAGATGGGTTTTGCTATACGTCATGTCATAACTCACAATAACGCCCCGGGGCGTGTGCCTGGGGGGGGGGGAGGGCGAGGTAACGCAAACGAAAGATACTCACAGACCAGCCCCGGATTGGGAGCCTGGTGTGACATTAGGCTTCTCCCATCGATAGCCGAAAATGATACAAAACGTGTGAAGAGGACACATATGATTTTGTCGTGTTAATCGAAACACTGCATGGAAGCGCATGCTCCCCCACAGGAATTTCCATGAGCGATATGTTCCTTGAGCCGGAGCCTGGCCTCGGGAGGAGGGTTGAATTTTCCCAGGAGCTCCCTAGGCGCCGACGGTCATTCGCATGCATTAGATTGCGTCGAGGGAGCAGTTTAGTTCAAACTTCGCGCAGACTTGAATCGCAAATTGCATGGAAATTAGGAGACAGTCTTCTGAAAAGCTGAGCGCGGACTCACCTATGAGGATGATGAGCCAGATTTCGTCGATATCGGAAGAACTTTCGCATGCGCAAAAATGTGCATGCGACCAGGAAACCCAACGCCTATGGCACACTTTCGCGGCTCCTTCCACGCATACTATCAGAAACTATCGATATGTGGGTCTTCGATGCACGTTTCGGAATCGAAAACGATTCCTATGGACCCCGCGCGCAGCCGGTGAATGCGCGATAGCGCTCCTCGGACCATGGACAATGGCCGATAGAACCCGGCTGCATGACGCTCCCGCAACATACCCCGAGGGCCTCTTGCATTGGGGCCGGAGTCGAGTTGAAATTTAGTAAGACGCCGAATTCTGCCGAGAATTTTCAGAAGTTCTCTGGAGGCTTAGGACGGGATCGATATCGAATCGACAGCTGTAATTGACTGCTCTCCATTCGTCCTGCAGCGCGAGAATCGCGAAGGCTCCCAACCCTGATCCCTGAATCGGAGGGTTGCCCTTTCCCGAAGATTATTCAATCCCCACGAGGACCGATGGCCTGTTCCGGAACTGCTGTCTCGCTGCAGGGAAAATGAGCCATTCTGCCGTCTCAGACGACAGATCTAGTTTTCTCTCGCACAGCAAGACTGCTTGCGACAGCCCGACATACCGATCGCCGAGTCAACGCGGTTGATCAGGCGAACGAACTTCGTGATCACGGCGCGTGGAGACATACGCTTCGGCATATTCCGCAGGAGAACACTGTTGTAAGCGATGCACGAGTCGTGTGCCAAGCCAAAGGGGTGAGGGTTCTCTTGTGCCCAGCTTCTTCCTTATACGGAGTCGTTGACATTATCGGTTGTAACTTGACTAAAGTTTTCCCCGGTGCGCCCGGCCGGACATTCATCGCGGACTCACGGAGCCATGATACAAGCGTTCCCTTTCGCATATAGATAAGGGCGGAGCTGAAATTTTGACTCGAGAACGCTACGCCTCGACCAGAGTCTAACAAGCCTGGAGTTTTTCAGGGAGCATGGAATGCTGCCCAGAACGAGTCCTTATCCCATCATCATCCCATCTGATCCAATCGCATACTTCTAATGTGCGCTCGCCAACATCAATTTCATCTATTTGCCTCTTCCCGGGGACCTCTAAATTCTAGACTCAAGAATCTAGGGTCTAGGGGATGTGGATCCTGAACCTGAATATATCTGGCAGGGAAAAACATGGTCTATTTGACTCGGGGCACATGGGAACTGCGAACGTGTAGCCTGTGCGGATGATCCTTGCTAAGGCGATCCTGGAAGTTTTGCATCAGCCTCTCTCTAATCCAAGACTCGGCCCCGTTTATTTAGCGCGCAGAGAAAGCGTGCGAGGGGTTCGCGACCCTGAGTCCCAGAAACGCGGCGGAAAACATCGAGGGAGTATCGGCGGACAAAGGCCATGAACTTGAGGGATTTTGCGTGCGCCGTGAGACGAGACAGCGGGGCTGGAACATTTTCTCCGGAGAACAGCGAGACTATAGGACGAGGTGGGGCCGGTGTGGCGTTCTCTTTTGAGCCCCATGTATGGAAGGTCAGATCTGCTGACATGGGCTAGCGTCTAGGAGCGGGTCGCTGCTCCATTCAGATGGAGACGAGATCGGCAACTCAGGGGAACGAGCTTGGATGGGCCAGGCCCCGCTCTAAATTCGAGTCTCAGATTTATTTCTGGAGCCTGTACAGGAGTTCTCTCGAAGCTAGCCGCAGCCGCCGAAGATCTAAACAGGGAGCCCAGTCCGCCTCGGGCCGGCGGCGGCGGCAGCAGCAGAACATTGCGTGGATCTGACACTGAGTTTTGACTATACAACGTCTATTCTTGAGGTATCGAAGTAATCACAACCTAAGCTGCTCGGTAGGCGAGGACGTTTTCTTCTTGAGGTCCCCAGTTTCCGTTGAGCCGATCGAGAAGATACTCGCCCGTTTCCGTAGGCTCCGTCGGATCCTCTCCACGCCGGCAGACAGACGCGAAAAAACTCCGTCTTCCAAATCCTTATTTAGAGTCTCCGGCAAACGCAACGAGAGCAAAGCGGCCGTAAATCCCAGGAACGCGTAGAGCACTGGCAGGAGTCGTTCGTGTATTCTGGGCAGCCAGTATCTGCCGAAGGGATCCACCGTTGAAGCGAGCCGGAACATGAGGTCGCAGAATCCGATCCCCATATTCCGTAAGGGAGTCTGGTACAGCTCCGCACTGTACACCGGGTAGAGTTGGGTGAAGGCAGCGCTCGACGACCTAATGAGGATGACCGAGCCCATTCTCAGCACGACCCTGAAGCTGTGATCCGAGAAAATTTGATCCGTGAAGCCCAGAAGCAGGAAACCTATTCCTCCGAGCAGGCCCGTGACGCAGACTATCAGTCGGCGTTTCAGAAAACGGACGCCACACGCCACTAGAACGACAGCGAAGAGCTCGCCCACCACGGGAATGACGAAAGAGATGTGGGGATGAGTTCCCAACGAGGTGCTGATGAAAATCGACGAGTAGAACAGGAGACCGAAAGAAAAACACAGGTACCACATGATCAACGTGTTGGCGGACATGTTCTCCTTTCCTCCCGAAGCCCTGAAGAGATCGATAGCGCTTTTGTGGTTCGAATCACGCAAACCGCTGTAGCGCGAGCGGATCGCGGGGATGCGAGCATCGATCTCGGCTTGCGGGACGCCATTAATTTTCGCGATGCGTTTAATTACGTCGATCCCATCATCGGTCCTTTTCTTCGACAATAGCCATCGGGGTGATTCACGCACGAAGTACAAGAAAGGTAGTATTGTCACGCATGGGGCAGCGATTACTGCCTGGAGAACCCGCCACGACCTCGCGTGGTAAGCCGTCACGGAAAGAAGTAACATGCCGAGATGGTAACCGCATCCACTCAGCATCGAGAACATCCATCGATTCGAAGCATCGGTCGTTTCTAAGAATATCACAATCGCGGCATTAATTCCGATTTTCGAGATCGACGACAGAAAGCGCCCAGCGTTGAACACGATGAAGCTCGTTGCCGTGGTCGCTGTGAGACCGGCTATCGCACAGAGACAGATTCCGCACAGTACGGACAGTCGACGTCCGAAACGATCCGAGAAGTGGCTCACTAGAACATTCCCCACAATGAGTCCTGCCATCGCGACCGCTTGGGGGAATGGTCGCAGATAGTCGTTATCGCACATTAGTTGCCATTGTTCCACTATGGTCGCTCTGTGCACGGATTTATCGAAATCCCACGAGTCGCATTTGACGATTTCCTCGGTGACCTTCCACAAGTCCGGTGGATGGGAAAAGCTGTCGGAGCTCGAGCTAATGTTCAACGGAACCTCTCGACTCGCCTCGTCGAATCTCGTCTCCAGGTTGAAGTCCAGATTCCGCCGGAAGCAGTGACCACCCATTTTCGAGGCGAGCTCAGGGAAGTCGTGCTGGGTCGCTTTGGCCCACGCGGGCTGCGACATCCCGAACTCGAGCGATTCCTTGCTTCGGGCGCACGTGTAGTTCACGTTCGGCAGCATAAAGGCCATCGACAGCTGACCGAATGAATTGAACAGCGAGTTGATGAAAATCACCGCCAGAATTATCACGTGCCATCGTCCTACTTTACCGACGAGCCCGCAGATATCGCCGTCGTCGGCGGGATCGGTTGTGTCCTCGCATTCCTGCGTGGACTTCTTAGACATCACGCGAAAAAATTCGGCGGCGGTGGCGGCTTGCAACTTCAACGTCCGAGCGACGCCAAGTACTAGTCTTTGCTGAGCTTGACAGATCGCCCAATTGCCTCCGATGGAGAGGAGGCGACTGTGGACTCGCAGCGAGACGGAGCGGGAAGCTTTCGACGGCACCGACTCCTCACGAGGTTTCGAACGAGTGGAGCGCTTTGCTCAGGAACTTGATGTCCGATCGCTCAGCGAACGATTTTCCGGATCTGTTGTCCGAAGCCCCCCGGAGAAAGGTTCCCCCGACGAGCAATGGAGCAAGAAGCGAATAGCATATTCGTACGAGTCGTCGAAACATCGGGTTTCGTTATGATGAAGAGAAGGTCAGAAACGCGCAGATAGAGTTAGTATTCGCTTACGCTTCGGCATCGACTTCGCTCTAAAACAAACTACGTATCGAATTCATTGTTTTGTTTGACTGAGACCTGGAATGAGAAGTGGAGCCTCGCTGCCGCCGGAACGCTTAGTAGTGTGCAAGCCTCGACATTCATCATGCGATATTGCCTGCCGATGTCGAGAAAGGGCACACATCGTCCAAACATGGCTAATCATCATGAAAAACGGATCGCTGCTCTCGCGCCAACCGAGAGTTCGGCCTCGTCCTGCCATGGAGACTCGCCGATGATGTTTCCTCTCTTGGACTTAATTCGGCAGGATCAGGTTCCGACACGGAACATCTGCGGTCTTCGAAGCGGAGCGAGCTTCCATTTTCCAGGGAATGGAGGAGTCAGCTCACGCTCCCCCATAGATCCCGATTAAACGATGTTCCACCGAAGAGGTTCAGGCGGAAAGAAAGCTTTCCCCCCGGATCCCCGCCTTTGTTCGACAGCCGTGTAAGATCAAGCACTTCCCGGACTAGTCGCTCCGACAGGATCCGGAAACCTAATTGCGGCTCTTATCTTCCAAAATCATGTTCAGAGAAACTTTGTTTCTCGATAGTACCTGCGAAAGCTAGGAGAGCGTTCTTCTGGAGTAACAGGATTCTCAGGTTTTATTGACTCTTCGGAATCGGAGTTGAAGATGTCTCCGTGAAAATTAGATCCCCCCGAGCTCGTCGATAGACATCGCTGGATCAGGATAAACGGTCATGATTGGTAACATCAATTAGAACAAGGTATTAAATATGATGACGTATGAGTTATCCGATAATGTTTCGCCATCATCATACATATTCACGAATTTCCCTAGATTAGCAGCGGACCATATCACGGAACCTCCCCCGACGGGGATCGTGGAGGATACCTCTAGGCTGAGCTTCTACTTGGATTCCTGTGGTTAATTACTCTCCAACCGCGAAAATTTCTGACGTTCTGGACGCCATGCCTTAAATTGCAACACGCAAAAGCCTATCTCTCACTGAATCGTATATATTTATGATGGGATTCCTCAGACCAACTTAGTATACGTCGAAATCAGTTCATGTTCCTTTCAGCGTGAAAGCGACTTATCGAGCCAATGATCTCACTTATAAGTATCTTCAGGTATTCTAGTGAACATTCCATCTTCGGGAGCCTCGAGGACTCAACAATTTTCGTCGAGATACTCAGTGCGGGTGTTTAATGTAAATCTCACCGGCACACTGATACGGCAAATGGATATACTCAAGAAAATATTCTCCCAAATCTCGTTCGGCCTGAGCGTACAGAAACACTACCTCGATTCCGGGATGAACAAGCAGATATGATGTCCGTAACGCATCGCTCCCGCATGAGCTATCCGAAGAAGAACTCTGTCTTGGTTTGACACCTCTGGGCGTGATGAGGAGAATCGGGGAAGGCCTCCCTGCCTCATTTTGCCGGAGCATCAGAGAGGGCGCGAGAAAGTGCAGGCGGGATCGAGCTGCCGCGACGACCGGAGTCGAATTTTTCCCTCGTCTAACCTGCCAGTGTGTGTGTATATGTATCTGTGCCCGGCGTACCGTGCGTTTATGCTTGCTTATCGGACTCGAAACTATTCCGCTGGCTTCGGAACATCATTAATCATTCCGAGAATCTGGGCGCTTTGAAACACCGGAGCTCCTGGACGATCTTTACGCTTTTCTTGGGAAATTTCCCATGCAATTCCTCAATGCTTCCGAGCGCCCTGCTTCCTCGGCTTCGATTCACTAGCCCTGTCAAGGACAGGTCTCCGGAAGGTGCTCAAGGTCCGAGTATACCGGCGAGTTCGACGGCGATAATTTTCGCCTCGGAATGGAAGCATTCCGTGATGCCCTGTTTTTTTGCGAGTCCTGCGACACCAGCGATGAGGAGCCGCCCGGTTCATGAGTATTGCATAGATGACTGCGGCAGGCACCCTCCGAACCCGAGTTTTGTGGTTTTCGCGAAGCATCGAGGGAAAGTCGGAGCATGCTCGTTCGCATTCTCTTCCCCCTCGATTCCCTGATTGTGTCCCACAGGCGGCTGTGATGCATCGACGAGAGCCATTCGGAGGATCGATGGTCCGTGATCCCAACTGAAGACAGGCAATCGAAAATTCAGAGTCGGCATCGGGGATATCTCGACTTTCTCCCTCTCGTATCTTTTTCATCTCAGTGGTCTGCGAGCAATGAGATCAAAAAACTCCGTTGGCTGGGCTAACAGTGGCCGGTGTGGACAGCGAGCGACAACGACGACGCCGACGACCTTGAGCGCCAGCCGGGCCCAGTGCGTTTCGTTCCGGTGTATGGTCGTCAACACCCACACTTACACTGCTCTTATATGTATATGTACGTATAGGTAGGTGTTATGTTTGTCCATCATTCTCCGAAAAAAAGAAACTCGTTCCTTGTCCCCCCGGCGTCGTTGATATCGGGTTCGATATACGGGTCGATCGATTCATCAAAGGGTCATCCGGTGTCAATCACATCAGTGGCTTATCGAGTCAGTTCCGTCTGGGGATAGTCGTTCCTTCGAAACTCGCAAGAGTGTAGCCGCTCAGAGGGCGTCTCGATTCGCTGCCTTTCCGGCCCGCCTGTGTCGGTCCGAGAGGAAATATTTTGCTTTCTCCAGCATCATTCGTAGCGTTGAGCGACATCGATGGAGGTCTAGCTTCACGGAACAAATCGAGTCGACAGCGAGCACAAAAAGTGGAAGGGAGCGCTGAACGATGAAATGATGAACGCGATTTTTTCTCTGATGCTGCAATAGCTGAATTAGCAGCTGTCCAATCGCGAAATTCTCTCTCTTCGGGTCTCTTGTTTATCACGCTCCCACAACTACGACTCCGACCGCTTTGGCTTCTTTCAATATAGTACACCGAAATGAGTTTTCGGGCCGCGCAAATGTTCCTCAGTTTTTTGGTTGATGGAGACCTAGTATTCCGGACGTTTTTTGGTTCCATTACGCCTTCCGCATGCATGAATTCCCTTGAGCCGGATCCGAAATCGCGGAGTCTGCCTCTGAAAGCGGATTAATTTCTCGTCGAGCCCACATTCTTCTCGCAGGCGTTCTTACCCCGAGGCTCCAGCCCTCAACTGAAGTCTCTGACGTCCGCCGAACTTTTTGAGTCGTCTCTCCCGTTTTCGAAATTTTTCCCACACATTGCATAGGACTGACGGTCCAAGATACCCGTTCGATGACTGATCCTTTCACGCGGGGGATTGTGAGTCCAGCCTTGAGGAGACTTCCTCCAGAGGGGAGAGAAGCCTGGTCCATTCTCCGTATGCATAAAAGCTCAAAATCGCCGTAGGCTATCGTCTCCGATATTTATTCAACGTCTTTGCGTTCATTGGACTGAGGTCTACACCCAACGCGAGAAGGATGATAAGTATTGAAAAATTCGCTTCACAATTCAATTCAAGGTAAGTCTATCACGACGAATCCGACGGGACCGGCAGGACTCGCTCGTTGCGAGGATACTTCGCCGAAAGAAATTATGCTCTTCATTCATATGCCTAAGGAAGAGAAAAGCTCGCTCGGTTCCCTCGTGAACATGGTGATGGGAATGCTAATCTATATTGGATTATGAAATTCTACTGTACAGTGAAAAGCTAAGGATCTCGAATCCGCAGATGATCCTTCCGCAAGAATTTGAAACTACAACTGAGGTACAAGTTACAAACATTCTAAACTCTAGATGCGGGGCTCGCTTGCGGGGACGGGAAACGCGGGACGGTGATCACGCTAGGGGGATCTAAGGAGTTCATCCATCTACGAGCTGACTTCGATTATTATCATCCCTGGCTCGACCGTTGGGTTTCCCTTCGTCCCTCATCCTCTCCTCTCAGACGCTCCATCGCCCCGGTACTTGTACGTAGTTTTCCGACATGTGTAAGTCTGCAGAGCTGTACGGCATCTACTAGATTAGGAACTTCCGAACAAGATTACCTACTCCATTGATTCAATGATTCCGGTGTTCTCTACGCGCATGTGTTTGATGTCCGCTTCCCCAATCACTGGCGTCACGTACGTGGGCTCCTCGTCGATTTCGCTACTGTCTGCTCGTGTGTCCATCCGTACTACATCCATGGCACTTATCTCGGCTGATCTCGGGTCTGTCAGATATGATGGGAAAGAAAATTGGGGATAGCACACCGAAAACTATACTTTCCCGGAGGAGATATGCTCATTCCAGGATCGCCGCGGGCCGATCCCTCCCAAGCGCTTCGCTCGCGGCTCCTCCCACGAGCTGTGACCTTCACTCCGGCGCCCAGATTCGAGGCATGCGATACGTTATGTTTGCCGGAATCTCGAGGATGACACGCTCGTCCATCGATCCCGAGGTAGTCCAGGGAGTAGTTCAATTTATTTACCTAGCGTTCGAAACCTAAGCGGAAGGTTGAAGCCTCGATGGGCTTGTACTCTCGAGAAAGTTTTCATTTCGATTTACGTAGGTACATGAAAATTTCGGGGACTCTCCACGACACGTCTGAACAGTGCGGTCGGTCGGCAAATTCCAACTCCAGTTCACCGAGCACACGAACGACATCTTACAGTCAGCACTGCTCCTCTCTTTCGGAACAAAATCTCCCAGTCAAAGGGAACCATCTTCTATTCATTGCGAGGCTGTCGAAATAGACAGATTCGTCAGAATAGCTTCACTCTTTCCGACTTCCGACTCTGGGAACCTTCCTACGGACTCGGAGTCGTCATCTTGCCGCTGTTTCCCCGCGTTGATTACTCGACATGCATCCGATCACGCTCTGAATTCGATCAATAGATACTCACGAGGATCAATTATTGAATTGTATAAAGTATGACTAGATCAGATACGGTCGGATGGAAACGTTCCGAATGAACGAGGTTTCGTGTCACCGCTGAACTACTCAGCATCTAGTGAGCTACTGACATCGACACGACGAAAAGGATATGAATTTCAGGGAGTCGACGCGTTGGGTGACAAACTGGGATGAGCGTGCTCAGGTTCGGAGCACTTCTCTTCAAATATTCATCGTGCCGCTAGGTCTCACTCTGCAGAGAGTCTAAACTGCCCCGGGAGACGAAAATGATTCCTTCCTGGAGGGAAGTGTTCGTCGATGATTTCCAGAAGGAAGAGCTCATGTCCCCGACGGAGTGTTGGCAGGGAAAATTGACCAACAAGAATGTCGACGGATATTGACCTCGGACGAAAATGCGTTTGGATGGTTCCTCGTTTCGATTCAACTCGAAGAAGCGCAAAGAGTCGACCACGAATTGAATCTCGCTCCTGATAAGAGCAGTACGTAGATAGGAGTATATGGCGGGTTCTTACGAAGAGAAAGAGAGCAAGAGCAAAGTGGACGTATCTCGACGAGCACGGCATCGTTCGACGCCAATGCTACCGTCTGAGTAAGATGCGGACGCGTTTTTAAAGTATGGAATTTCGCCGTCACCTCGCCGAAGGCTGTTCAAGGACGGCGATTGGACGAAGGCAACCTCGTGGGGTACCCACGTCGGAGGAGTTCGGACTCCGGCTTCTCTAGAACGACGGTGGATTTCGGCTACAGAGGTATGAATAATTGAAGTTTTCCCAGACTTCCCTCTTACACGTGCTGTCGAGCACGAGTCGAGATGATGCGGACGAACTGAGGATATAGGAACGTCGCGTTTGCTGAGATTGGTGTTGATGAGGGCTTAGGACTTGACAAAAAACGAGTCGTCGTTCAACGAGAGCGTGGGAAGAGAGAACGTCCGGTGTCGACGCGTCCGTACCCCATGAGGTTGAACGAGGTGTAGAGAGTTGTCCGTACACCGACTATCACAGCATAAACCACCGAACTTCAATATAGCTTGATATGTAGGTTGGGGATGTTGGAGAAACTGTACAGTTTTTAGCTCGCGCAGCCTAGAAGAAAAGCCGGGAATTAGCCTCAGAGGTGAGATGGAACAGTTCCTAAATGAGAGGGTAGTTGAAACTCCCCATCGAAGACGAAGAAGACCGACCCACCGTTGGCTCTAGAATTTCCGGGGGACTCAACCTCCGAGCGTCTTGTTGTCTCTGTTGTTTGTCGCGTTCAAGCGATGCTGCTGCGGACTTTGCGATCTGGTGATGACCGTGGCGCGACACCTAGCAAATCGAATCAGACCCCCATTAGTACGAGTTTTCGGGACGGATAGGACCCTGACCCGAGTCAGAGTCCTGGTCGTGCTAAGCGGATATCTCATGCGCAGTCGGTGACGGGGAAAACATCTGGAATGCCAATAATTCCAAGCGACTCAGTGCGCGGATCCTCAGCCTTGTTCCGTCCGGTCGGGCGCAGACACTAAGCAGGCAACTTGCAGGAACGATTAGTCTGCACATGATCGAGCAGCACGAATGTCTTTCGTACGGAATTCCGATCCCGGACGAGATTGGATGAAGCAGAAAATTGTGGGCCGAGACGGCTCCGATTGCCTCGTCGGTCGGAAGTTATCGCTCGAGAGCTGATTTCCCCGAAGAGGGCCAAGCATGCAGGAATCTGTTACCGAGTTGAGAATGATCCCCGAAAGGACGGAATGACCGAGAAGCGTTACACAGCCGCGGTTCTCACAACTGGCGTCGCTGGAACAAGGCAGCTACTCAGGCGACTAATTCTAGGAGGCTAAGCTCTTATTCTCCGAGCTGTCTAGACTTCCAGACCGGAGCTCGTTCACGGATGGAGAACATCGAAGCGGAACACAGACGGGAACACGATTAGCTGGAAAGCGAACTTCCACAAGCAAGCGGATCAGACGTCCAACGAAAGACTCGTCAGCAAGCTCCAAGTACCGGTTCATGGATGCCGTCGTCGGGGCCATGAGGCGTGAGGTATTGCGTCTGGGAGTCCCATTGCTCCCGCTCGTCGGTCGACTCCCGGAGCTTTCGGGTTTCGTGGGGCGCCGCAAAGGCGTCGAAGTGCCGGAGCCCGTTGAGGCGCTGTTGTTCCCGTTCCGGTCGGGCTTACGTCTCTCAGCGCTTCGCGACGGCCGCTGCTGGCCGGTGATAGTCGAAGAAGTTTCGAGCTGTCTCCGATTCGAATCGATCTTTTGGAATTTCATGCTCTTCAGAGGTGACATGTAGTGAGGCAGGGCGCAGTCGTCATAGCTCGACTGTCGCTGAGAGGCGGAATGGCTGTTAAAAAATCCAGATTTAAACTTTCGCGGCGAGCGAATCCGACACCGACCTCAGTAATCTAGAACACGGCTCCGGCGCAGAGCTGAATGCTCCCCAGGGTCTGACTAAGTATGTGTGTTGTGTCTCCCTGCTTCTATCCGATTCTATCCTCTGTGGGCTGTGGCCGTGAGCTGTTTCGACTCGACAAACACAACTACACGACCAGCTACCACGCCGTCGTCGACGTCGTCGGCAAACTTCGGGGAAAACACGGCCTGTGTGTACCGAGCAGCCCTGTGTGCCGTGAGGGAGGGAATGCCCCGTCCCAAGCGAAGTCAAAATTGAGCGAGACGGTGGAGTGAGATTGAACTGAGGACAAATCGCCAATAAGTATGCAGCACACGCATCTGATGAGCCTGGAGCTCCGGTCAAAATGACAAGTCGGGAGACTCATGGATTTCTAGCAGGGGATGACAGGGAAAAATTCGGCTCCTGGGACTTCCACCCATGGGAAAAGCTTCTCCGGGTAGGGAAGATCTTATCGCTGTCCTCTGTTCTCTGAACCTTCACAAAGCTCGGTATCTCTCGGAACCGGCTCCCGAACTCCGACCTCTCAGAAATCCTACCGAGGGCGCTCACTACCGTTCCGGTACGCGTTAACAGTCGTACGCGGTCCCGGAGCTCCGTAATTAATTATCAGGCGTTTCGCTGGCTGACTTGGCGAGAATTCCTCTCCAAGACACATGGAAATTATCCTCTTTACGCAACGACAAACCCTTCAATCAGGCTCGTCAGCGCTGCAACGCGGTGATAATATCAAGAGCGGGCTTCGGCGGGGGTTCCCTGCGCTCCGCACGTACTTTGCTCCCTCGGCGGCGCTCTTCCCAGCGCCGTCACGGTCGACATGGCTGTCGTCTCCAAAGTGGGACTTACTCTCGAGTCCAAACTTGATTCTGGACGAGCGCTCTTGTTGGAGCTCTACGAGGGCTCAGCTCGACCGTGCTGGCCGATCGTTGTCCGATCCTCTATGGGTCCGCCGTAATCTTTGAACCGAATAAAACCATTCTTCAAACGACGGACGGTCCACGGAAGACGCTCACGATTCGGGATTCTAGAAACAGTTTATGATTCTCGTTTCGGATCTGTGCAGTGGAGCTCTAGGAAAAGGACACAACCCACGTGCTAACACGTGACCCCTATGATACTTGGTACCCGGAGGACGGCGTTGATGCGGAGACCGTGGAGCGCAGCGCCTTTTTATCGGATTCTGAAAAAAAACTCCCCTGGAGCCGCATCCGGGTGCTACTTACTTCGATGCGGAAGCTGTCACACTCCTCGAGCTCCGATTGCGCTGAGCTTTGATCTTATTGAGTTCGTCGCCTTGCGTGCAACGTTCTTTATCGCGGACACTGGCCGACCTTGTTGTGACGCCGCTGCTCGCCGAGCCCGAGACGAGCGTAGTAGTTGTCGTCGCCGTCGTCATATTGGAGGCGTTATTATTGTTTTCCGAATCCAGCTGTATGCGATCGACTTGCGAGAGGATCTTCTCAAGACGCCGATCTGACTCGATTGAGACCGATTCAGATTTTTGCATCACGCGGCGGCTGCAAGCAATGGCAAGTATTGAGCTCGATACGAAACCTGATTTCGAAGCTGCTCAGCTTCGACTTCGGAGGAGGCGAGCATTTCCCCCGACTAGAAGTCTCATTCGTGCGAAACGTTTCATGAACTCTGAGTTCGTGGAGCTTCGTGACGAAAACGCCAAAATATAATGATTATTATTGAATCAGTGATTATATCTCGTCGAGTCGACGCGGTTCTAACCTTCTCGTGATGATCGGAGACGACTTCTCTTGCGTAGATCCAGGTCTGGTCTGTGACTGAGACTGTTGTAGCTGCTGTTGTTTTTGTTGCTGCTGTTGTTGCAGAGTTTGTGCGTTTCGGTTTACTTGGTTGACGTTGTTTATAACATTGTTGAGAGTTGTAACAGCATTATTGTTATCGTTATCGCTCTTGCTATCGACGAGATCGTGGTCGATATTCACAGCTGAGTTGTTGGCGACATTGTTATTGTTGTTGGCAAGAGTTTTGGCCGCGTAAGCTTGGTTGGTGATTCTGGGCGAAGAGCACGTTATGTACTCGATGTTGTCATGACTGGTGTTTGCGTTGAGTCGCTTGCGTTCTTTGCTTCGGTAGATGTCACCCTGCAGCCACAGATAGGCTTGTTTCCTGGAAATAGGCGGAGGTTTCAGTCGACTCCCTAAAGATCGGAGAAAACACTCGAGGCTCCCCCTTCTCATCCGCAATAGCTCTCGCAGCGACAAGACAGGCGACAACCGTTGATCCAACCGTTCCACTAACTGAGTGACTGGGGCGAACTCCGGAGGAGAACCTGAGGCTCCTGTCAAGTCCCGCTCCAGGGATTTCCAACCGGAAAATTCTATTTGTGACAGATCGTTTTGAAAAGTCGACAGACGGCGAATCTGACGTCCTAGCAGCGCCCTTGGAGACATTTCGAGTGAGTTTCCGATGCGTCCCGCGTAAATCATGGACGGTAGTCGAAACCAAAGCGACGCAACTCCAGAAGGAGATCCCGCGATTCTGAGAAGCGCAGCCGGGAACACGACAAGAGCCATCGGAGCCTCGCAGCTCGGACATTGGATTCACCATTGCTTTCCGCGATAAATAATTTCTATGGAGCGCAATGGCGCTGAAATCGAGGCTCAGGGAAGCGATGCTGTTCCCTTCCGAATCAGCAAGCAGGGAATCATAGAAGATGTCTCCTCGGATAGAGAGCCTTTTTTTTGGTCGGTCTGGCAGGAATTGCGTTTCTATTTATCTCCGTGGCGGAATAGCTCCGGAATCTCTTTTGGAATGGGGGAGCAACTGCCGCAACTTGACTAAGCGACATCGAATCCTATTTTCCTTGCGTCGAGTGACGCAAAAGAATTAGCAAGAAACTCCGATTTTGACCCGCAAGCGTTAACCCTTTTTTGGCTGAGTCCTTCGGGGAGCAGCGAAAAGTAGACGGAGAATCGTAAGTCGTCTCGAAGAGTTCTGATAAGAGGACTCACTCTTCCAGCCAGTGCTGTTGGGGTCCGATGACACTTCCAGGACGACATATGCGGATCCATCCGATGGCTTCGGCGGCGCTGAACCTAAAATGAATCTTCGCCTTATAACCACGTCCGCAGAGATCCGTGGCTCCGATGGGGCCTTCCCCGAGCGAAATCGTGTCCATGTACGTGTATCTGCGCATTTATCGGGAGCGGAACCCTGAATGGTATGCGACCCGTATGCGAATATCGAAACGTCGCACTTCGCGAGAGTGCGCCGCCCTAACGCGGGACTTTTCCTCGCGGATCGCTTTTGTCGGAAAAATCGGGCGAAGGTCACTCTCAAGGAAGATTCTCGTAAGGCAAAATCCTCATCCCACAGGAAGGGATTTAAGGGAAGAGAAGCGACTCAAACTCTCGAGAAAAAAGAAGCTCCGCCCACCTGAAGTGCTTCATGATATAACACGCGATCAGGGTGCCCGTCCGTCCTAGACCAGCCTTGCAGTGCACAGCGAGAGCGCCCGGGGCGGTTTCCGCAATTTCGAGGAATTCCCTCATGATGGCGTCGCTCGGAGTCGTTCCGTCTACGAAATAAAGATCCTGGAATAGGAGAAGAATGAAACTTCAGATATTACTCTCTTCTGACGTCGGCCATTTTCAGGGGCTCCTCCAACGATGCGACCGGCCGTTCAATAAAATCACTGTCCAATATGAAAATGATCCCCATGCTTCGACCTTGGATCGGCAATCGGCACAGGCTCGCCGAAACGGAGGGGGAGCTATACGCAAGTGTTTGGACGTCGTCGGACACCTGCATATCCGTGAGGAGCGGGCGCAACGCGCTTAGGCAAGCGCGGAGTTTCGAATAATTGCGAAACGTCAGCACACATACGGACGTTGAACGAATGCGTCCGGACGACCGCTCGTGCAGCTCCGGTCGAGCAGACTTATAAACCGGAGCCCGGGTCGAGAATGCTCGCTCGCTCCGTGAACGGACGAATGACAAATCTCACTCGGTCAGGACACCGATGGGGCCGAACGATCGGCATTGTCCATTGAGTTGCTTAGGCCCGTTTATTGGACTCTGCGATGCGAGGCCTCGGACGCCGTCGAAGCCGCTGTGTAAGTGGAGATTTCGGGCCGTGGTGCTGACAGATTATTCGCTCGATGTCTGATCATTAGTTTATTTCTCATTAGTGATCCGTAAAGTCGGATCAGTCAGCCATGACTTCACTACTGATCGGTAATCTCTACACTTGACTCGGCGTGCGGGGGAGCGGGATCACAGAGTCAATACTCTTTCGGTTGTTTGCTGTATACCAGACTCTGGCTCCTACATCAGACTTTCTAGGGCGTGGCACGATAAAGCAGTCGTCCTCTGGCAAGGGCCTTTCTATCGGCACCCGAGACTCGATTTTACTGACGTGAGCGGCACATGAGTCCAGCACGGCCCAGTAGGGCTCTGACGTCATAGGCTTTTGATTTTCTGCTCCGGTGCTGCTTCCATTCGTTGAGCGATTCAATCCCCCACATTGTATGGTCGACTGTTAATTCTCCGGAGTCCTCCATCGACGCTTATTCCGGCGAAAATTCCAAGTTTAATATCCCGTCTCGCGCCGTACTCGATCCCGTCGGACCCGGTGCATAGACGGGCCGAGAGATTGGGACGGAACGCACACGGACGTGCGTCTTTTACGTCGCGGTTCCCACTGACCTAAGGGCTGCCGGCCGAGATGCGAGGAATTTGATATGACACGGACAGTCTATCCAGCGAATAGCATGTCAAGACGAGCGCCGTAATTTCAGTCACCGAGGAGAACCTCTGGATAAGTTGACTGTTTCGAGTTTCTCAGACGAATTCTCGAGACGACGAGTCGATCTCGAGAAAGAGCGAATTTCACTCGCGATGAAGGCATGGTCAGTCTCTAGAAAATACCGGTGCAGAATGCGTGACCCTCAATACGAGAAACTGCCTACCGAGGAGCCCTCGGGTATGCGACTCCCAAGTCGTTCGGCGCTCGCCATAGTGCTGAGAGCACGGACGTTCTGTTCTCCTTTCTGCCCGGCCCGCAAGTCGAGAGGTTCACGCAGTCGTACGTTCGTATTTAGTAAGATTGGACAGTACCTCTACACTGACCAAATGAAAGCGCCCGACGAGCAGACAATGAACAGGCCATACCCTCCCTGTCTGCGAGCGACCCAGCGAGCCCTGACTAGCAGTTTGCATTGCAGTTCATATTGTGGGAGCCGAACTCGCCAAACATTAGCAGGAATGCGACCGTGATTCATCTGAATGAGCAGAAGAGCTCGACAAAGCCACCCCACAGAAGCTAATTGTTGCGATATAGAGTCAGGTGATATGATCCGCAGATATGAGCCGCAGATATGAGCCGAGTTGCTCCGTCACAGCTTTCCTCAATAAAGAGAATCATATAGCAGTTGTTATCCTATGATATGTGATCGGCAAAAGGTAGAATCGTCTTCGCCGCCTGCTGTTTCTGGCGTACGTGTCCGGGGCGCTGAACATGTCTGTATGCAAGAGTCGGCACACGCACGCGTGCGTGCACTGCGCGAGATCTTCACATCCGATGACGACTCGAGTCCGGATAGACGGCTCCGTTGGCCATGATTCGTTTGTCTGCTCTGAAGCTGACCATCGAATGATTCCTCGAGTACGGGTCGGCACGAATTTCCTTTCCTTTGCTGAGACTCCCTGAGCCAGACCATGGTCCCGTTTCGAGGAGCACTCCGTGTCGAGTATCGTCTCGACTGCTTCCGCCCCCTGCCCCTCTCCTTACAGATACATTGCACGCTTTTATTGCGCACAACAGTCGAGAAACAAGTAGCGCTGGCGAACGCAACAACGCTGGCACGTGCAGGTGGTACGTGTTCTTCGCCCGTAAACGACACCAAGAACGAATTCACGCTACAGCTGGCTGGGATAACGTCGGCGCTTTCAAACCGTAATCAAGCGTCAGGAGTGCTCTCACCTTGTGAATGAAACCCTGTTCCGTGAATTTCGAGGCGTCGTAGTTCTTTTTATTGAGCCGCACAATGGTGGAAACGTTGTGTTGTCTGAAGTAGCTGAAATACGTCTCAGGTCCGTGCTGCATATGATCGTTCTCGATCTGCAATCAAATCAGACTTTAGAAGAGGCAAACGATATGAACACCGACAGAGACACCGCACGGTCTCTCGAACAAAAGCAGATACGCCATTAGGCTCCGTCGACCGACGCCGACGACTCCACGACGTTGATGAGGACCGTCGGCTTAAACGTTGCCACTGGCACCGACCCACGTCAGGAGACTTAGTAAGGAATACCGCGAACGGAAGGAATTCTCGAACGACAGTAGGAAAACGATCAAGAATTTCCTCTTCAGCGACCTTCCGGAGGAGGATTTTCCGGGAGATCATACTGACTCTCGAAAAAACGAATACGCAACGAAGCGAGCCGAGACTTGTGAATTACAGCTGTTCGCGGGCAAATGGGCCGATTTGGGATATTGGAGCAACTAGCGAGTCGATGGGGGGAAGAAATCGAGTCGTAGGGAGTGAACGATTGCGATAGGCGTCAGAATGTATGAGGCCGAATTCGAGGAGAAAGGAAGCAGAGGAATACCGGGGCTCATCGACCGACGAGATGAGAACAATTGAGAGCGGGATGAGCAACGTAAGTATAGCTTACTTTGAAAGAGAGAACATTCTGCGAAATGCGGCAGTGTGCCTCACGACGTCTTTACCTTGGACTTAGAGTGCGGCCCACAGAATGCGAGAAACTTTCCCGGAACGATCCAATTAAAGTCTCCGTTCTCGACTTGCTCGTAGTGCTCATACTCCTGCAGGTTGAAGCCGTTTGGTCCGAAATCGAGGAATTTAACTTCGGCCGCTTTCTCGATAGCTTTCAGACAATGCAGGACCGTGAGCTGGTAGGTCGTTGGGCCCAGAGACGCGTCTCGGAAGGCTAGGAACGGCTGATGGCTCGACAAGTGCAGGGGTCGGAACGCTTGTTCTGCTGTCCGTCCCAGGAACAAAATCTGTAATCAGAACATGTCGTAGAATTCGTTTTAGTGTTCAAACAAAAGAAACAAGACGGGATCGCGTTCGGGCGACATTTGGCTCGAGTGCGACCTTTCGACGCCGATCGAATGTTTTCGCGACACGGACAAATCTCCCACGAGCTTTTCGTCGAAATATCTTCGACCGGAGCTCTCTGTTCGGTCTTTCCAATGGATTTCCTCAACATAGGGAACGATGAATTTTGATTCTTCAATTCGGAACCCCGCTAGTGGGGCGAGAGAAATTCATCGACAGTTGAACTCTGCGCGAGAATTCGACAAGGATGATAAGGATTTTAGGAGGGAGGGAGGAAGGAAGACTTTTTCTCCGCATTCGGAACCGTGTTTGTCCCCGTCTCGAAATACGAAAAGTACACAGGAATATTTTCAACGGTCGGGACGACTCGGAAGAGAGCACTCGCTGGGTTTGCATTGTTCGCCGACAGCAGGGAAAAATATAGGGAAGGTCGTCGTTCGTTCTTCACTCACCGAATACGCTCCGATCAGGAACGCCGAATTTGCTCTTCGGCGTTCCTTATTCGAGCAGTAATGAACTACAATTTTGCCGTTGGCCTCGCAGCTCTGGAAGGGAGGAAGGAGGGTTTTAGAATGCGTCCGCCTCTTCCCCCTGGGCCGATGACGTGGACTCTATGTTCTGAAACCACCAGGGGGAACTACACATATACAATAAACTCGCACATCCGGAATGATGTATGGAGCCCGCCCTAATGAACGCCTTCTCTTCAGTCATGGATTGAACTGCCTCCGAAACAAGGCCAGACGCAAGCCCTCGAGTAGCGTATATGTTGTTCTGGACTCTAAAGCTGTTATCCGGCTTCGACGTCCTGATGAAGCGTCGAAGCGCTTTTCGTTATTTCTACCGTAAGTGAAGTGATACCACTGTATTCGGAGCGCGATTCGCGGCCAAATGAAGTCTATGGTGGGCCGCTCAAAACCAAGATTATTTTGTGGCTGAATGGTCTCCAGCGACAGGATCCTATCGGCATCGGTGCACAAAAGTATTGTATTTCGAGGTACTATTCTCAGAGCTCTTGCAATGTTGGAGCTTTCCACATCGCTGGCCCACTTCTTTCGCGTCCTGATGGCGATAGCGAACAACATGGGAGGTCTAGAAGCCCGAGTTCGAATAAAAACGAGTGTTTCTGAATCCTTGCCATGGAGCTATGAAATAAGTTTGAGAAACTCTTGCCGTCAGCCGTCGGGCCTGCGACACACGTACACGGCCCTTGTCGACACAGAGGCCGTCCGCGAAGCCACCGGCACAGATTTCGAGATCCCCATGAGATTGAGACGGATGCCCGAATTGCGCGCTCCCTTAATCGTACACAGGCTCGGTGTGTGTTCGAAGAGGAAACAACAATCGACGTACCTTGAGCTTCTTGATGACGATGCAGCAATATCGATAAAGCATTCCGAGGTTGAGCGGACCGAAATCCGCGTAGAAATTTTCATAGATGAAATCATCGTCGATGCTGAAGAAATGGATGGAAGGGCTTTGCGGAGGTTTCCCGGTCGGCGAGGCCAATACTGCGAAGTACAACGTGTCTGGAAAGGAGAGGAATTCCGATAAATTCAAGGCATCCGATGGGTATCGTCGATTTCTCCGCTACTGACTCGACGCTTGACTCGGTTTCTCGGTCGCGTAGGTGTCACGCTCAGGGGGAGTTCGAAGGCCCGGCAGCGGTGGAGTGTGGGCAACCTTGACCACTCATACGGTAGAAACCTAGGCCATTAGCCTAGCTAATGTCGGAATGCTCTTTCAACTCGGTCAGCAGACCTTTACTCATGACTCATGACAAATAGAGCTCCACAGCCTCCCACTCTTTCTTATCTCCAGGACAAATTAAACACATCACAATCCAGATTGGAGAAAGCGGCCGGAAAGCCTCCTCACCGCTGCCAGAGGTCAGGACCATGGAGTCAGTAATACAGGCTTGGGTGGAGGATAAGACAGCCTTCGACTAACAAAAGAGCTAGGAATATTTCGCGATTGGAGTCGTCTTGCTTGCTGTTTGCGGAAGCATTCAACGCCACTGTGAGCACCCATATAAGAAGCCATGCCAGAAGCCCTGGAGGCCTCAGTTGCAGCAGATGGCAAAGTGCTTTTCCTCGTCGTGGACGCAGCAGCAGTAGCAGCTGCGTTGCCTGCTCCGCCGCGGCGACCACCCCTGGTCTATCATCGGGACCCTAACGCGTAAAGGACGGATGCAGAGGCATCGACGGATCGGCGAACTTGAGCCGACAGATCCGGGCAAAATGGAGGAATCACGGCTCGAGGGGGATCTCGGTCGAAACGGAAACGTTTAGCCCCACGAGCTGCCAAGGCTTTGCGATGATTTGGCGTTGGCGAGCCACGGCGACCGACACCTCAGTTTACCGCGAAGGTCTGGTAAACTGCATCTATGCTTGACCCCCGTGCTCGGCCCACTATCTCCCGAGGGCAGTGATTCTCTGTACCTGAGCTTCCTTTTTTTCTCCAGCGAGGCTTCCGCCTTCCGATCTCATGGGCTCTCCTCGGACCTTTCAGTGCCGAGAATTACTTCGCAACAACGACGCCGGTCGGGGTCGAGGCTGCGGGTTAATCAAGTCGGTGATGTTTTCGGGGACGACGACGACGCCGCCTCCGGTCATTGCTCGACGTCTGAATCCCATCGAGACTATGTCGGCTCCGAGAGCGAGATTCCTGTGACGTTTCCGCGCAAATGCGGTCTCTCGTGTGGATGTCGGGGCATTGCGCCGATCGGAGAGTATTTTGCCTTGGCAAAACGGTCCGCGTTTGATTCTGGCCACGGGGAGAATTCGAAGCGACTGGCGGGTCGCTGACGGCTAAAAACTCTGTCGACGTCTGTCGGTGAAAATCCTCTGCGGGATTTCTGTCCCGCAGATGAATATCGCCGTTTTTAGCTTGATGACGTCGCCGCTGCCTCTGCTGCTGCTGCCGAAGACTGGAGAGCTCCGCTGCGAGACACGACTCACTCAATGAAGAGGGAAAACGCTTCGTCGAGTCGAGATTATACAGTTTCTCTTTTCAAATGGAAACCGCTGCCTAGCCAGACAGTATGGAACTTCGATTGGTCTCTCGGAAAAAAAACTCGTCACCAGCTTCTGCGGCAGCCTACGCATCGGAGGGAGGGACGACTATAAGTTTGTCGCTGAGCCCAGCGGAGAACCGTAAGCCCGAGTTTCGAGTCCTCGGCACGGATCCTAGCCCGCATCCGTCGGTAGCAGCGTCGTAACGTTTCTCCGGCGAGCGATATTCTCGAGGAGGCAACTTCATGACTTTCTGTCCAATCCCTCTCTGTAAAGAGGCGGGATCTTGAGGGAATATCGGTCGGTCAGTTTCTCAAATCGAGACTTGCGTTCCCTCCATCCAGGCCTGTCAGACTTTTCAAGCGCCCCTCGAGCTCTCGAAGCTCCTACCGTTGGCGTCGCCGCATTTACATAACGTGGGAGAAACGGCGCTCTTTTTTACTCCAACCCGAGTCGACAGCTCCGCTTCTCCAACCTCGTTTATCATCGCACTGCGAGAAATCCACTCTATTCGAGCTCGCCGAGTGGCTTCCATCCTCTCATAGGCGCGTAACGGGCGATAATCAGCTCGATCTCAATTAAAACACAAACTGCTCCCCAAGGATACGGCTCCCGTTCGTCTTTGTCGAGCAAACGTCAGACGAAGGAACGAGGGAGGGACAGCATACTCCATGAGCGGATGGGTGAGCCGGCTCGCAAGTTTGAGCGAAAGCGCCCGCTGGTGATTTTGGTCTAATTAAGTATAAGACACGCGTCCGCCTCCCTTCGGTCTCTGGACAAGCTGGTTCGGTATGATTTAGCTGGCTGTTTGGCTTTCATTTCCTGCTCGGCTCTTTTGTCTCGTCCAATCATCGCCCCCGCCGCCGACCAGAACGGAATTCACCATGCCAGAGAAAAGGATGCCGGATAGGACCACTACAATGCTTATTATATGAGGGAGATTGGAATATTTTCCCTTCGCGACGCCTTCCGATCGATCACTCGCTGTCCACGATAGAAGTACAGGATGAGTAGTTCGCGACGAAGATGCCCCAAGGACGCGCGGCTTTTTTCTCCTCCGAGGAAAAGAGTCTCGACGACTTCGGAGTGCGTCGCGAGAAAGCGGAGGATTTTGAAAGTGACGACTAAGAAGCGATTTTCTCGTCCTATCGATCAGTTTACTCCGACATGAATCCGATCCTGAGCATATGGGCGGGGCTTCGCGTCCTAGGAACTTCAGGGGGTCTTATTCAAAGCAAGACAGATAGCACACAACAGCCTTGACATCGTCAGCAGCGATGACGACGGATGGAGCCGCCGAGACCCCATGCAAAGGAGGAGTGTTCCGCTTATAATTCACGCGAGCGAGGGATATTATGTATGATGATGATGATGATACACGCGCCCGGGAAGTCAGGGACTAGCGAGCTGTAGACAGCTTCGCCTAAATATATATTAATCCCCACTTGAGTTCTTCTGCAAGCGTAACACGAGTTCCGCAATCTCATCTCCGCGGTCGGCGACGGTTGAGTTCGACATCGCCTCGGCGGTCGGGACGACTCAGCGAAAGGGCACAAGTACCGGGCCAAGACACTTCTTCAAGGCACGGTCTCGAACTCTCTCGACGGGAGCGCAGCGAGTCATCCTATTTCAGTTTTGAAAATCTGACAGAGACCAAGAAACTCCACTCCTTCCCTCTCGAAACGCCGAACGAATTTGAGCCACATCGAGAATAGGATATCTATATCTGTCCATACGGCATGCTTTCTTTTTCACCCCAATGCAAATTATCCCGCGGTCAGGCATCGGGTCAATGACTAGCGGACTCACCTAGAGAGCTTTGGAACATTCCGCGATATCATAGGACGAAGAATCGATATTCGAGCCAGAACCCTCGAGATCGATTTCGGTTGGCGGAACCGTTCGGCGGAAGCTCTTCGAGCGAAATTATATCCGAGCTGAAATCCGAGCGGTCGAGAACGTACAACTTTAGCTCGGGAGCCCGTGCCAAAACGGCAAGAATCCCTCAGCCGACAACTCGAGGAATAATGGCTCGTTTATTGGGTCAGGTATCTCCGCAGGTTGACAAATTCGATCAGTTCGAAGACGGCAGTCGACAATGCCTGAGGCTGGAAGTCACTTGGGAAATGTTCTCTCGACGGTGACAACAGCTCGTGAGTGTTCCACATTGTCAGTGTTTGTTCTGCGACTGGCACGGCGGTTTCTTTTCTTGCGAAACAAATTGTGACAGCTGACAAGCCTATCCATATCCTAGGAGCGTTTACCTTCGAGAAGCGTTCCATTTCGGAAAAAAATGGCGAGCCGACAGCGCCGGCCTCGTTGCTAAGCGTCATCGTCGGTCGTCGGCTAGCTTGGCGGCCGTTCGCAAACGTTCGTTTCGAAGCATTTCGATTGTCGGCGTGGGACTGCCAGCTTTTAGTTTCCTTCTGTGTGTTCCTCGCTTGTTAACGAGCTCGTCGCCGCTCGATACGGAATAGTTCGTGAAGGCGGCGTGTGTTCGCAGCAAGATACCTGATTCCTTTCGATGTCGTTGATGCTGTCCGCATCGATCGAAGGCGGGAAGAGCATGAGGGGACAGGAGTCGATGTCGCCCGCTGCCTGGAGGGGGCAGACGCAGACCCTAGGCGCTTAATACCCGTCTACTATTTTTGCGCCTGGCCGTTCGACCCCGACACGGCAGTGTTGCCCCACAGAGAATTCCGCCGAACAAAGCTCCGTCGAGGAGACGTATCATCCCTCCCCGGCGCGCCGTAACCTTGCCGGTTTCTTTCACTTTCTCCCGCGTACTCTCTTCCAGCCTTCCCCTCTACTCATCTTGTCCGGAAACGACGGCGCCGTCGCTGCCTCGTCGCTTCGCGTCCGAAAACAGTAATAATAATTGTGGCGAATGGACAAGGTCCTCTGCAGCCACATACTTCGCCTTGTCCGTGACAGTAGCCGAACAAGCTCGGATCGTCCATAAGCGTGTCGCTGTCACGTCGAGAAACAGAATTCCGTCCTTCTTATCGCGTTTCCATGACCGATCAGTTGACTGATCAATTGAGCCGCAGCCGGTGTGCTCCAGGCGCAGGCGGTCCGGATATTCCCGCCCAGCATACGAAACAGACCCTTTCGCTTCCCGATATGGAACTCCGGTTTTGGAGCAGATGGAAGAGGGATTATATCATTTGACTCCTGTCCTAATGAGGATTCGATTCCCCTAAGAAATCACTCCAAGCACTCATTCCCTACTCTTATCTTTCACGATCGCGCAATTCGTCACAATTCGACGGGTCTCTATATTTGCTCGCAGAGACCGCGTTTTTTTGGACCACCCAATCAGAAACGATCATGAACTCATTTTCAGATACGCTCGGTCGTCGGACCGGCAACCGGTCTCGTCCGTCATGATGATAACTCCGCGGAGGGGGCTCGGGTGCACGATAAACCGTCGGACAAAAGGTGCAAAAAAGCCGACTCAGCTCAACAGTGAGCGGGTAGGAGACGGATCCGACGAGAATGTGAGGCTCGCGCTGGAACGAGCCGGAAAAGCCACGACACCACCGTCGCAGAAATATCACTCGGGGAGAGGTAGCGGAAAAGTTCCTAAAAATTTATGGGCACGTGATTCAAACTTTCGGTTGGGCCCATCAAGACAAAAACTTCTCTCCTCTGACATGGCCAGGAGAAACACTGTTCCCAGGGCTACCTAGCAACCTCCCTTGCGGAGAATCGGAGAGCCATGCCGCGAACGCGGGAGCAAGGAGAATCGTCTGACTGACTGAGATAACCTTGACGTACGAGAGTGCTCGAGACTGCTTTCCGGGCGTGATTTGTTTTTTTTCCTCCGTGAAAAAACGCTATGATTTGTCGAGAGCCGCGGGAAGTTTGCGAAGCAAAGCCAGCGGTTTACGGGGAGCTTTGTGAGAGCGAATGCGAAAGATAGCGCCGAAAATAAAAAACAGCATTTCTGAGTGAGCGGAATGAAACTGATTTTTCTGCCGTGTGGTGGTAGTCACCGATGCAGGGACAGCGTTTGCGGTGCCAAAGCGCTTCCTTTTAAGGGATACATCCAGCTCGGCCGGACCGCTGGACAAGTACGCCGATGGGAGAATTGTTACGTCCGATTTCGGATTCTGTTTCGGGTTATTCAGCAGACTTCGGAAATTCGTTCGTTTCTTATAGCCTTGCGGTAAATTCCCTCCCTCAGCGACCACTTATATCGGAAACCTAATATGTCCCGTCAAACGTGGCCACTCTCATGAATCTGAGAGTCCGGCAGGCGGATTCCGAGGCTGGCTGACAATGAGCGATCGTCTGTCCGCTACCTCGGCTCGTAGAGAGTCTCTCTCGATGAATGGTGTGATCTTCCAGAAGAGAGTCTGAAGTCGTTTTAATAAACTCGTGATTGAAATTCCACGAGTTCCGTTGTGTTCAATATCGAAAATATCGTCCGTGTTGCTATCTGACTCTGCCCACGAGCGTGTGGATCGCTCACGTGGGCGAGCGCATTCATTTACAGCGGCGGCGTGCCTATCGGATTAGTTTCGGATTATCTGTTGCTCGCAGGAAAATTGGATCATTAAACGAAGAGCGCAGCTCCACTTTTCAGAATATTGGTCCGGACCGTTGGATTAGCCCCTGAGATAACCTGCTATTCCACACGGGTCAGGTTTTTTTCTTTCACCCTCGGTGAGCCTTTGACGAGACAGACTTCCGGCTATTCAGTGCAAGGATATGAGGGGGACACATCCTCAGTCAGAAGTCAAATTCAGCGGACTCGAGGCACGACCCGGACAAATTGAACCAAGGCTGATTGTTCGGTACACTATCTGTAAGCTGACATGTACAGTGTGAGCGTCTGCTTCAAGAGTACGTTCACGGACATTATTAATATGCTATCAGTGCGTGGCAGCTCATCACGCTTGAGCGAGCATGAAGAATAGGGAGCCCCTATGGAGCCGACCACGGGACAGGCCAGACATGAGGACCGGTATGCGATGGACTTTCACAGACTCTCCGACTCGGGCAGAGTCGTGTGACGGGACTCGGGCGCAACGAAAGCATCACGCAGACGTTTCTAAACATGAAAAAGACAAAAAGCGTTCGTCGTCACAGCGGCACACCTGTTTCCTGTGCTTGTTACCTTTCAGCGTCGATGTTCTGTCACCGCGATGGATCGAATACGACGCATTTTCGGTTGACAGCGAGCAGGCGCCGTCGACCCAGATGTACGCTCGCATTCATCTGTCTTATCATAATCGCCATCGGGCTTAATTCAGCTCTCGGGAGCTGTTGTGACTCTTATCGAGGCAAACAAAGGCTTAAGGGATCCCTCCACCGATCCGTGATGATGAAAAGGGACCCTGTGGGCGGTCAGGTCGCTGACCAATTGACTAACCAAACCTTATCGTCGGCTGCCGAACTTCGGGCTGGTCTTCCGTGTCCCGAAATCCTCGGGACAAGATAGACGCCTTAGAGGGATTATGGTTCACTCCGACCTAATGACCGGGATCGTGTTATGGATCTATTTTCAGTATAGTGCCTTTGGGATTCAACAAGATTCAGGGACTTCCGCGCGAATCGGAAAGAATCTCCTGGACAAGAGGAAATAAATCCGAGCTCCGCCAGTGATTGCGTTTCTGGTGTTCCCCGAACCCGCAAGATTCGCTCCAATCCAGACGAGTTCCTCAGACATCGGTTTTTCGAAATCGTCATCGAGGCTTTTTCTAACAGTATTGAGTGATGGGACGCCGTCGCTCCTCGGAAATTCAATTACCGCACCGAAGCTCCTAGAGCATCATTTTCTCGCCATCGCTTCATCTCCATCACGAGCCAAACTCGACTATCCATGCAAACACCATACATTTTGGAATAGGGCGTCGATCATGGCGGAAAAATTGTCTGGCCTCCCCTTATGAGTATGCTTCAAAAGGAACAATGAGGGAGTGCGAGGAGGCCGTAAAGCTGCGAAACGGCGCCCCGAGGAGCGATTTGCTTCATTTTCCATCACTCCAGTGGACGGAGGCCGGAAACACAATCGAGAAACGTCGGAGAGCGCGATGGAACGTGAGCACGACAAGAGAACGGTGCGGAATAGATGCAGGCCACTTTGTGTCGAATTTGCGGCCGCTGCGGAGCGCCCGGAGCGAACGGGAAGTCTCCGGCTTTTTCGCAGAGTCTTGTATGGCCCCCCGAAGACTCGAAGCAGGAGCAGCAGATTCTCTACCAAAGCCCTCGGCAAGCGACGCTTGTCACAGCAGTGCAAACTGGAAGCCTTTGTGCGTCTCACTCAGTCAGCGTAAATTATGTCTCCAGTTGTTTCCACTCGGGTACGTGTTAGGTCTGGAAACGCGCATTCAGCACTGTGCCTCAGCGCCAAACTGCGCGCCATCCATGAGCGAGCCCGAGTCCCTGCCCTCGGGAGCCTGTGCTAGGGAATCGCTTCGCGCGTCTGCCTGGCAAAAAAAAAATCTCTTGATGTGAGAGTGTTTCTACATGGCTCGTGTGGATTATCTGGCGCGGGTCCACTCACGAGAGGGCATCCCTGAGACGAGCGAGTGGGCGCAAGGTTACGTCTGCATTTGGAACTGGCGCCGAAAGATCCGCCGGCTTCTTCTAGACGTCCCAGAAAAAGAAACACCACCGATAATGGAAGGCAGCTATACCGAGCTTCGAAAAGTTTCCGAAACTAAAAATTACACGGAGTCAAAGAGTTATTCGAAGACCGCACGTCCTGGTACCTCAGAAACTTGCCTTCCGTCCTGCAGCTTCGGCAGGAGAAACAGGCTAGTTCGGCCACTTCCGACGTCTCGGATCGGAAGACTGATCAGATATTGATCAGATGCGAGACTCCTGGGAGTCGCCATCACGGCCGGTGGAAACGCTTCCTAACGTTCTTATCCGGCTGCTCCCGTTCTCGTTTTTATAACGTCTGCTCGGTTAAGTGGTCACCTCTGATTGCTTCTGTCCCGACGAACGACAGTGAACCCCACGGGGCGCTCGTACTTATGAGAGGTGTCGAAAGAGATAGCTGAAGTTCATCTGATCGATGTGAAGTGCACCGTCATTCCCGTCAAAGTTTTTCCGTGCTCAAATTAGCGAAACAAGCATAATAGAAAAGATCTTCTCCTCCCAAACGAGAAGAGACGATACGTCATTCATTCGTAGAATGATAAACGGATGGAGCGATCGGTCGTTCTCGGTCTCCGGACGCGGGAACCGCATTCGAATCGACGAAAGCGGTTTCCCGATTCACTCGAACTCCCTCCGTCTCGTCTCATGTCTCGAGGGGTCTCGAGGCGGGCCGTGACCCCCGGGTCGATTCCCGTCTCAACTATTTCCGTAGAGCCCGATTCTTTATTCTCGGCATCGCTCGTTAAAGATTCATCTGCCGGAAGTTCCCAGCCCCAGCGAGGACTCATCCACAAACAGGGAATCGCCTGCATCCGGCGGAGTACAGCCTGTGCTCGGCGAGAGACGGACACACGGCATCGTACTTGAACTGTCCTTCATTTTGGAAGTCTTTCTAATATTATAATCGGCCATGCGAGTGACAATCTTACGTCGGACAGAGAGGTGGCGTTGACTCGACGTACACATCAGCGAAGTTTCGTTTCCTGCCGAGTGATAGAGCAGCTTACGCAACAAGTCGGAAACGGTATGGGAAAAATTCTAATCACGAAACAGCTCGATGTATTCGCGACCCGCGCGGAACGACTTCTTTAGTTAATTCTTCTTTCGCAGCTTCGACCGACTTGGCTGCGACAGTCCTCCACAAGCGACACAGCTGACAGCTCAATGCTGGATTTTCGCAACATATCCGTCCACCGACGGTCAACTCCCTTCGTATTCAGGAAAAAGTGAAAGTCAGTTTCTACTCTTCGCCATCGCGGCCTTCATCTGAGCTTCCAGCATCCACCGACGAAGGAAACTTTCGGCGGAGGAAGCAGCGAGATGATTTCTTTCCGAGGGAGAGCGATCCTCAACATGGAGACTCGACATTCCACTCGAAAACCACCGATATTTCACTCGACTATCGCGAGAACGTGCAAGACATCGAACCATTCCAGTTCACTCGACAAGCTCCCTAATTAATCCGCGAGGCCACTCACCTTTCTCGATTTCAGCCAGCTGCACGAAATTATCTGGATCGATCCCTTCTAAGCGAGCCATGATTCCTTCAGCAAGGAAGCACTTTTCGCTTCGCTCCCTTCCGACTTATCCACGGAAGATCCAGAAAAGCGCGAACCCGGCTTCCCGAGCGCGAATAGTCGCACTTCGTTCCTCAACCGCCGTGGCGAGCTGCGTGAGCAGGTACAGGGCCGAAAATCCGGGACTTTTTCCAGACAGCCGTCCGAGGAATGACAAGCCGTCGGCGTTTTTCCGCTCTCAAAATCGTTGGGTTCCCAGGGATTTTTCACTCAGCCCATCATTGCGGACGGAACCGTCGACCGTATATCCCCGTTGAACATCGCACGAGAAATGAAACACACTGCACAATTCCGTATGCACATAACGCCGCACGTCAATCCGGACTAGGGCTGCTGGAGGAGTTTATATCCATGCACTTTTTTTTCTGCTCCTCGAAGTGGCGCCAGAAACCGTTCCGGCTTGAGCATGTAGACGACGGTGGGTAAGTGATCCTTCTTGCCAATTGCGAGAGCGAGCATACAGGCGGGACGACGGTGTTTTGCCCTCTCTCTCCAGACTTCACAGATGAGCCAAGGCTAGAACACAAATGACGGCCGAGTGTGAGTCGCGCCCGGATTTTATCGCGCTTGTGTCCGCCTGGTATCTACATACAAGTTTTTCGGCTGCAGCAGGCTAGCGGCCAAGCAGCGCTCAGTCCTCTTGCGCCAATGCTTGCTTGTTTGTGATGGTGCTCGCCGTCGCCGTTAGAGCCGCAGCGGTAGAAGATACAAGAGCCGATGATTCTGCCTGCCCGGTGCTCCGGGCGATCGTGTGTGAGCACCCAATGCGGCAGCGGTGTCTGGTGCGGACCCCTCCTCCTCCGGACGACCCTCGCCTCCGAGTTCAGCATTTTTTTTGGGGGGGGGCGGGCAGACTGAACGAGGCGGAGGGTCGGACTCCATCCGAGGGGCCGAAGGCGACATCAGGGGATTCCGGGGCTCCGAGGGAGCCGGCGGAAACTTTGCTCGCGGTGCACAAAACGAGGCCGCTGGGAACAAGGACAGTTACTGGGAAGGGCCTCGCAAGGTGCTGGTCATCGAGGGAGTCGCCATAGGCTACGGGATATTGTGACCGTAGGACTTGTTGAAGTCCCCGAGGCAATTGGAAGTCGAGAGATCCCATGGCGGGCCGGGAGATATGTTGCACAGCCGAAAGGAAAGATCGAAAGCTTATCAGTCGACGGAGCGACCGGGCACAGCGTCACTGGTCCGACCAAACGGATCAGATCGGACGAGGGATATTCGCGGTTGGGTTTAGAGAGTGGCTCATGCTGACGTCAGTAAGGAAAATTCCACGACCGTCCGCAGATGCTGCTCGCTCTGGAATTCGTAGACCTTTGCAGGGGCAAGTTTCCAAGGTCGCGCTCCAGGCTCCTTTTTTCGGTGCAGAATCGATTCCTCTGTGCGTCTCGTTCCCGGCCTGATCATCTCCAATATTGAGAGATCAACGCGCTCGAGCACTGGATTGTTCAATCCGAGCTCGGAGAGGAAGACAGAGCGGAGGTGCCGATGATGACTCACTGGCATGCGCAGGTCGAGTATTTGGAAACGTCGTCTCCTGAGCCCCGAAATCGAAAGACAGGCGGATACCAGAACGGGAAAATTGATGAAGTGAAGGGGGCTTCATCTTGTGAGCGGAGTAATGAAAAGTTAGCTGTCCGTCGCCTTTATGTGTGGACCTGTTTCTCCTCCTGAGTGCGGCAACACAATCGGTGTCATCTATCGACAGACTTCAACGCGTAATCGATTATTGTAAACTGGTCGAAGTGCAATGATACACCTGCTTTCTCCGCGAGGAGATTGAAGGTGCGCCGGATTTCATTCAGTCATGTACACACGTCACGGACTCGGCAAGCTTGAATCATCTCAACGAATTACCATGCTCAGTGGAGTAACTCGAAACCTTTTCCCATGCTCACCACGCTGAGCTGATAAGAGTCGCTGGGAGAGTGCTGCCAACGCCCATGCTCACGAGTGCTTGAGCCTTATGATTGCTTGAAACGCTTCCCCGGTGCTGCCGCTTCTCGATGTCTAACGCTCAACGATATTGTATGGATGCTGTCTGAGATATCCAGGAGCTCGCACCGTCCGCGAGGAGTCCTTCTCATCAATATAGAGAATTTTGATTTTCAGAAGCTGCTCCGGATGGGATAGAACGTTTTTTCGCGTGCGATGTTCCCCCCGACGAATGAGATATTATTCGATCGCTTGCTTGTTTTGAACATTGGCATGGCGTAGGCAACGACAACGTATCGATTCGATGGAATGACATTGGTGAAGCTCGGATGAGCGGAGCTCCGTGTTTGCGTTTGCTGGCGCGCTCCCCGCATCTCACTGGCTTAGATGATATTCGGGGAACAAGGGGCGGAGGAACCTAAAATGACATAAATCCCCTGAGAAATCCTGTTCGACGCATTGCCCGATTCATATGATGAGTCACCAATTAGCCCAATAAGGGACTGAGGAATTCCTGCGGTGATTTTTGGCGGAAATCGCGGAATTTTGCGGTCTGCATCGTATCTATCCCTACGGAGACGCGTCGCAAAATACCGCGAGACTTTGCAGAAGAAGTTCGGCTCGCGGAAAATTCCAAGCCCTGGTCATTAGTCGTGAGTCATTATTCAATGCTAATCTCGTCAGATGTCTGATCAGATCAGATGAGGCGCGCCATTCCTGATCGGGATTGCGGTCCAACTTAGGAGCATCGATGACTCGAGGGTACCCTTCGCATGCTCTCGTTCTTGCGCACGACTGGCAGAGAAGAACGAGGATGACTCGATGAGGTTATGGACTTGTTTCAGATTATCGAATCTATCTTCTTCAGCTCAGACGGCCGGTGGAGTCGATGAAGAATTCGATCGCAACGCAAGCGGTGAGGTCATCCGCTGATTGATCTCGCTCGATCTGATCGGGTTCGAAAGGATAATCTGATTTCGTCGGGGGCCGAAACCCGGATGGAAATGTTGAACTCACTGTGAACGAATACTCTGAACTCCGGACCCTCCCCGAAGGCTCGAATCAATCGAGACCGGGCAACCGGGTTTGGCGAAGGATCGCTTCGCGATTTTTCTTCTCGGCGGCGCATTATACAATCGCAATCACAATGTAATATCCTTCGCGGTCACACTCCGACGCTACCTACGTAAAGGACAGCGGTTCCGGTAGAAGGAAGCAGATTTCGTCTCTCGCACCCTCCAGTCTCGCAGACGACGTTCGAGGTCGTCTGTGCACACAGTATGGGGAGATAAGGCGGGGGATCAGCTTTCTGAGATCCCCACAGCAAGACGTTTTTGAGGAGTCATTCCTTCGGAATTTATCTCCCCTTCAATAATCGTCAAGGCATCTGCATCACAACCTACGTAGGAGAAATTCTTTCAGATCTTGCGCTCTCTTCCCGAAAACTCCGGCCCGAGTAACGAAGGTTGAATCCTGGCGAATTCTCTGCTTTCGGAGCTCCTCATTCTTTTTCGTGAGAAAAAATCGACCTCTCGGACGATCCTGAGCTCACCGTCGACGGGTTCTGCTTCGCCAGTCTGAACCCTCGATAAGGCCACAGTGCTCGTGATTCAACCAAACGGGTTGGGTCCGAATTCTTGATTGGTCGAATGGGGCGAGTGTTGCATACCGGTAAGCGGGAGTTTCGAATCGGAAAGCCTTAGTTACAGGAGAGGCTCCCGGATTCGCAAGCTCAACTTTCCCGACCGAGTATTGTGATCGATCAGCTTTGCATGCGATCGAGTCGACCGCTGAAAGGCGTCGGCGGAAGAGGAATAAGCTTTTTCTCCCAAGCCTGGAATACCAATTAAAAATCGTATTAATTCATCAGTCTCGCGTTCAAGCTTTCTCTCCGTCAGTCGTCGCATCATTCTGCGTATGCCTATTTGTGACGTCGCATAGACGGTGAGGGGTAATCGGGATGAGCTGTCGGTTCCGTTCGAGCGCGCGGAAAATTGAGAGCGCGGTCGTGCTTTGAGCGCGGCTGCAAAGCATCATGCAAATCACGAGCACGACCGGATCCGGCACGCGACAGAAACACGCTGGACAGACTCTGGACCGCATCTTCGAGCATGACATAATTTCCGAAACAAGGAAGCGTTACATTATTAAGATTCGGATACGGAATTAGAATACACATTTATGTATGCATTACAGGGGAGGTTATGTTCAAATAATGTACAATGATGCCGACAGAGCAATGCTCAGCTCATGTCTCTCGATCTGTAGGTTATGCCTCGGCTCTTCAACTCTCGGATCATCCCATTCGGCATTCGGCCGGATACCGAGATGGCGTACATCCCTGGTAGACGATGGGCTGACGAAACAAATTGAGATTAGTCACCTTTCACAGACTCGAAACCTACCGGGAGGAACATGCTCGATTCCAGGCATATGGAAACATCTGGAAGGACTCCCAACGATACTCACTTAGTCTTTGCCATTTGGCAACCCAACTATCCTCAGGCTGCATCAGTGCGATGATGCCGTCGAAACGAGTCGAAGTGCAATGGTACACCTGCTCTCGGTTCCCTTTCATTTGCAGATATTTGTCACAGTTCTCGCAACCCATATCTTCGAACTGGTCGACGGACTGTTGATGCAAAAATCGGAGTTCGAAAAATTGAGTACCCACTACGAACATAGGAGTGCGGTGTCAGGATGGGGGAACCCGAAACATCAGTTTTTGTTGTCGCTACCGCTACTGAGGAGTACAGCTGCCTCGTGTTCTCGCTTGGAATCCTCGTCCAGAACACCGAGTAACTTCTCCTGAGCGGTCTGAGCCTCGAGTCACTTCATAGTGGATAAACAGTTCTGAACGGAATAATTCTTACCTTTACCAAGGAACACAGCATACACGCTCGGAGATTTCTAAAATCTTTTGGGATATTGTCCATTGAAGCAGCCATCTCAGAGGAACTGCCTTGGTTTGTCTAGGAATAGCACAAAATCGAAATTCTCTCCGAAGGAACACTTCGCAGGAAACGACAGCGGCGGACTCCTAGAAATGTTAGCAGACGCTTGTTTACTCTGTGCAGACGTCAACACACGACCGGCGCCCGCGACCCGCGAATCGAGCGACTCGCACAAATGGCAGTTCCGGACTAGGGCTCTCCTACCCCAAGCAGACAATGGACGTCAACGGGGTGAAAATCAATCCCGATGCCTCGCGGAGTAAACGTGACTTCTAGACCTATCGTAAAATACCCAATACAAGCCCGGGCGTCTATTTATTTCGAGAGCCTCTTGGGGAGGGTTTATATTGGAGAGGGGCTTCTATTGGAGAGGGGCTTCTAATACCCTAGTTTTCGACTGAGGAACGCCGATGATCAAAACAAAAGTTGGGAGCACTGCTTAACTGCATTTCCCAAATGAAGACATCTATTTTATCCTAGAGATTATGGTCTACAAACTCTTAGGTATTTACAATATCACGAAGGTATGTCATTTCTCACAAATGGATATATCGTTGTCGCTCTCGTATGTTTCTGCGGGTTCGGGGAGAAGTTAGTCGTCTGTCAGGAGAATAGGCTCTTCTTCCTCTTCTCTTTCGAGACTGAAGCGGACTCGTCGCGGACTCACAAATTCCTCGTGCATTCAATTAGCTCGGCCAGACCTTTTGGACAAGCTGCATCACGCTTGAATACGTGTATGAGGTGGTCCTCGGTACCGTCATAGCGTTCGGTATCCCGCAAGCCATGAAGGATTCCTCGATGATCTCTGGAGTCAGTCGCGACCGGGAGTCGACGATCCATTTTAGGTACACGTCCATCGGCGGAGCTCGCATATCAGCTTTGGAAGTGTACGAGTTTTCTCCATAGAGCAACCAGTCTCCGTACTGTTCCTCGATTCTCTGTTCGAAAGGTTTGTTCCAATTGACGTCCGGGGCTTGAACGAATGTAGTGCAACCTCCGGGCAAAACAGCGGAAGCGACGCGCAGATTTCTTAGCTCATCGCGGGTGTCTCTCGTGAGATGAGCGCGGAACGCATCCTATTCATTCGGCATGAATGGATCATCGTTCAATGCGATCGAAAAATCGCTCTCCGTATCGTCTGCGTTTCGCATACTCAATCAATATCCTATCGTTCAATGCGATCGAAAAATCGCTCTCCGTATCGTCTGCGTTTCGCATACTCTGATTTCGGGGGGCTTGTATTGGGAAGAGGGCTTGTATTGGAAAGGGGCTTCTATATCTTTGAACCGTCGGAGGGGTGGGGCTTGTATTGGAGAGGGGCTACTAATAGGTAGTGGGCTTTAATTGGGTATTTTACGCTATATTCGACAACGACCCTCCCGGAATGCCTTTAGAGCGGGTTCGGTAGAGGCGGGTGCATCATCGGGGCGCAACCCTCCAGAGACACAGTAGGTTCAAGATCTTCGAGAAGCTACAGCGGCTTCGACATCTCAAAACTTCGACATCCCTCACCTTGAAGAAGTGGCTAGAATATTGGGTTTCACTGAACAAAGCGACGAAAATCTCATGAGGAATTCGAGAAGACTGCTTAAAGAATGGGGGAGGGAAACCCGAAGGATCTGCTGAGAAATCGCCCCTGAAACAGGGTCTCCTGCCTATACATATGTACAAATAGGACACGAGGAGGTCAATAAACACTATTACCATTACAGTCGTCCCGAGGCTTTTCTGAGACTCGTCCACAAGCGACATCCGCCATTTGAATTTCCGGGAGAAAACTGCGGCGACATCCCGGCCCGACGTGGGACGGAACCTGTCGTGCTCTCTGAGATTCAGTTCAAGAAAGTCGTCGGACGCCCCCCTTAGTGACATTGAATTGTGAGCTTAGAGACTGATAATGCACGATGCACGACGTGAAAGTCTGGGGACTGAATATTTGTAAGTCATTGACCGGAGCGTTCGCAATAACTCGCAGGACATGTCCTGCCTGCCAATAGCGATGCTCATGTCTCATATCACTTGGGTATGAGCATCGCGACTCCGGAGAAGGCATGAGTTCCGACAGATGGGCCAATGACGATGGGATCGCTCCTGGGGCACGGATGATTCCCGCACTGGCTTCCGTATCATAGGCGGAGCTCAACGACACACCGTGCTAGCACCCCTTCCGCCGAGATTGCTTGGATCTGCGCCAAATAGTCCCCTTGACATTCATTTCGAACAATCGAGAAGGATGGCGGAAGGATTGGAAGACGAGCGCTGCTGACTCTGAGGGATTTGCGGTCAATTTTCGGCTCCGGACTTGAGTACGATTACTTACCCGACGCCGACGTTCTGGGTTTTCCTCGACGGACTTGAGAAAACTCATAGGTACAGAAACTTGGTCGGCCTAGAGTTTTTCAGCTTTATCGGACTGAAATTTCTGCTGTTGCTCCTTGCATCTCACCCACAGCTGAAGCTCCAGAGGGGAGAGGCAAACATCCATGAGGTCCTTGCGAAAACAGACACAGGTTTGCGGCGGGCGCTCCGCAAACAGAATTGGCTCGGATTCCCTGTTCTAGTGTCATTTTCTCAGTCATTCTTGTGAGAAAGTGATCCGATGTGTTTTTCTTCACGCGGTGCCGCCAGCAGGAGGATTCTCACCACCGAAGAGTCGATAAACTTGATCGGAATCAGATATGCAGTCTGATCGTGAGGGCTGGAGGGAAGCACCCTGGGAAGCCGCGCACAACTTACTCCGGGAAGAAACGGGCTGGAGGAAGCAAAGTTATGGGATTTGCCGAGAAATGGCTGGCTTGAGGCTCTTCATTCCATCATCAGTCCAGCAATGCTCCTAGCAACAGGCGGAATTCCCGGAACCAGCAGCGAATAACGGGAATCAGAGAGCTCATGTGATCTCTTCGCCCGATGAATGGTGACCTTTGGCCTACGATAACTCCGAGAACTCAGGGGCATGTGATTTTTGCTCAATCTCACGTGAGCGAGAATGATGTCGGGGAAGTCTGCATATTATCCAAGCCTCAGGGTAGGAATCTTCCAGGCTTTCGAATGGAAGCCGACTGAATCGCATTTCCGACCCAGATGAGGCGGGTCAGGCGCTTGGCGCTCGAAACGGGGGAGAGATCGCAGCGAGAGGAGCTCGCAACGTGCCCGCTCAGGAGCAAATCTCTGCTCGGGTCCAGTAGGGTTTCCGAGCGGAACTCATCTTCTGAGCGAATTCTCTGCCAAGCCATTCTCCACGCTCGAACGCGCTGTCTTCCAAAGCGCGGGAGGATCCACTCATTCTCCATGCTTGATTCCTATACGATGGTAATATCCTTCAAGCGATCGTATTCCGCAGCTGGGAAGGCAGATATGACGTGAACGGGTCTGTGTGCTTCAGAAGACCTTTATGCAGCCGCAGACCGCGTCCATGAACAGAATTTTCGGCGACCTGTTTAATCCTGCGACGCTGAAGTTTCCAACAAAGCGGGAGCTCCTCGCAGGTCCCGAAGGCGCTGGGATGTTCATGCGAGAATCGGTGGAGAATAAGTTCTGACGCGATGAGTGCCCAGCGGCTCCAATTATGCCCCTCGATTGCCAACTTTTGCTCCCGTTCCGAGGTCGTGACTCCTTCTGGACGATTATCAGGAGCTCATGGCAGATGACACCGATTCGATCTCACCAAATCACAGCATGGTCCAGATTCCGATATAGCCCGGCCTCTCAATTGGTCCAGCAGACTCTTCGGGGTTTACCCACGTTCACCGAGGCTCCTATCCTTCGACCAGCCCCCCCCCAACTGGGTCCAGCTTCCTTCTCACTTCGAAGGAGCACACGGACCGAGAGCTCCTTCCCAGGTTCGGCCGGCGTTCCTGAGAAACTTCCCGATCCGCCAGCGGGCGCATGACGCCACCGCCAGAATCATTTGAAAATCAATGTTCCATGGAATGCCTGAATTCGAATATTCGTGGCGAAGTGTGCAGCCGAATTCCAGGGAGCGCTAAGCTCAACGAATATATCGGTGTACGTTGCCCCAAGCCTCGTTAGACCGTGGTCAGGTGTCCACTCTTATTGCGCGGTCCGTGCGGTCGGGGAGGATGCTGGTGATGATCGAATCCGCTGAGATCAATAATAATCGGAACGCATCAAAAGACCCAATCGAGATCTCGACCTCGGAAGGCAAAAGGGAATTCAGAGTAGTCGGACCGCGCTACACATGTACATGTATTAAAGGTGTCTCCCAGGATACTTCCAGAGAAGCTCCGAGCCTAGCTCAGTTCATTCCCGCAAAAAGGATTCGTCGAGAGGCATCAAGGAACTAGGTAATTCAAGGCAGATTCAGGACAGAGAATTGCAGAGTGTCTCGCAGAATCCTCCCGATCGGATCGAGCGTGTTCTCTGGAGAAGATGAAGTCGTCGTTCCACGTCATTCGGAAGACGCAAGCAGTCATTCGTTGTCGACCCCTCCGCACCTGGGCTTGAGGCGTGCTGTCTACCCATCAGTCGCACCTGCTTAGAGGATAACGCCTCAGATCAAGGGAGTCGACGGCTCTAGAACTCTTCCATCTTGAGATGAGATAACTAGTCTCGATAGGCCGCGGGGCTGTTCCTCACATCCAGCCCCGGAAAATCCGGCGAAAAGCTGTGGTCCGGTCAATTTTTGTACCTACCGTCCGCGCTCATCATCAGCACCTCTCCCATCGTGGTACCGATGCTCCTGATTTTCTGCTGAGTTTCTCCTTCATCCCTCAGCATCAATTCCCTGCATAGGCGTCTGAAAAACCCGCGGGGCAAGATCGGGCAAAAAAAATTGATAGGCCTCCGACATTCCCATACCCCGTCCTCATGCTCCCGTTCGTGTATAGGTACAGCTCACCATACGGCTTGAACCTCTGCCTTGAACTTTCTTGTATAGTATCCATCTAATCATAGTATCTTAGAAGGAAAGCCCTCAAAATCATGCGCGTGCTTAAATGAGGAGACCTCCAGGAGTCTAGACTTGAGCCCCTTCTCAGCGGCCTCGCTGCGCCATGGATTCGACGAGCTAAAGCTGTTAATTCTCTCCGCAGCATGTGCGAGGAGGTTCCGAAGGATGAGCGTTCCGTGGCAAT